AATAAGGAAAACTAACCTGCCATGGGAAAAAATTAGAACAGTTGTTGCCTCTGGGGGTTGGAGAGGAGACAGATGGAGGAGGGGCATGAGGAAATTTCCAAAGAAATGGTAATAGCCTTATCCATATGGGGGTTTGGGTTACAAAGATAAATGAATTTATCAAAAGTCACTGAGGCACAGCTATTATGGAAAACAGTATGTCGGTCCCTCAAAAACTTAAAAGTACAACTCTCTATATAATCCAGCAAAATCCCATGTCTAGGTATGTGTCCACAGGAAATAAAGCCACCATCTTGAAGACCTATCTGTACCCCCACGTCCATAGCGGCATTATTCACAGCAACCAAGACATGTAAACATCTTAAGTGTCCACACACAGATGAATAGGGAATGGAAATATTACTCAGAGTTAAAATAGAAGGAAATCCTGCCATTTGCAACAACATGAATGGACCCTGAAGGCATCAGCCTCAGTGAAATACGCCAGAGAATGACATGACCTCGCTTCTGTATGGAATCTAAGAATGGCAAACAGCCAGAATGATGGTTACCCGGGGGTGGGAGGGTAGGGGAAATGTAGAGAGGTTACCTAAAGTGAACAAAGTTTACCTAAAATTATGAGGTGAATAAATTCCGAAGACCTAAGGTACAGCATGATGACTACAGATACTATGTACTTGACATTTGCGAGGAAAGTTAAGTCTCAAGTGTTCTTACCACACACACAAAAAGGTAACTCTGAGGTGACAGATACACTGGCCTGACTGTGGTAAGCATTTCATGATGTCTTTCGATATGTCTATTGAAACATCATCTTGTGTGCTTTAAATATGTATAGTTTTTGTCAATTGTAATTCAGTAATACTGGGAAAGTCACTGAATAATAACCTTCACGCTACATCGCACTGTGTGTAAATTTTATGTAAAAAACCCCAGCAAACAACAACTCTATAAACACATACAGAATTCTAAGTATTTAGGGGTAAAAGTAGACTGATATCTGTAACCTATTTAGAAACACATCCAAGAAATTAAAATTAGATGGACTGGTGGATGGAGAAACAATGCACAGATACACAGCTGTGTAACAAAGTATAGTAAGTTAACGGGAGAGCCAGGCTGGTAGGCATTCACTGCCGAGCTCTTCCAACTGTCCTGTATATTTCAGAATTTTCTCAATAAAATGCTGGGGGGGGGGGGGG